GTAATTTTTTTTCCATTTACTTTATTTTATTTTTTAAAATTTATTTGTCAATATTTCAACGTGAATAAAGTGAAATATATATAAAAATAATTATTTTTCTTTGGGGAAGAGGGAATATTGGTTAAAAAACGAATAAATATCGTCTCCGGAGCCACGCACACGACTCACTCCGTAACTCCTTTTAATATTAACTTATAATTTTCAAACTCTGTCAGAAATTAGAGTTTAATGTACCAAACAATCGTACCGAAGGAAATTTGTATACACTAATTAGGGGGCACATAATGGGCAAAAATAGATTTTGTTAATTAACCGGAAGGAAGTTCCTTAAGCTATATATTCGTGAAAGCAACGTGTGTGCCGTGGTGTGATTGTTAGCGCCACGATAAAGAAGTATGTCGACCCGATGGTCAAGTGTTCGGTCCTGGTCACGGATTAATTTGTAATTTTTTTTCTATTTACTTTATTTTATTTTTTAAAATTTATTTTTCGATATTTCAACGTAAATAAAGTGTTATATATATAAAACTAATTATTTTTCTTTGGGGAAGAGGGAATATTAGCTAAAAAACGAATAAATATCGTCTCCGGAGCTACGCACACGACTCACTCCGTAACTCCTTTTAATATTAACTTATAATTTTCAAACTCTGCCGGAAATTAGAGTTTTGTATACCAAACAATGGTACCGAAGGAAATTTTTATACACTAATTAGGGTACACATAATGGGCCACAATAGATTTTGTTAATTAACCGGAAGGAAGTTCTTTAAGCTATATAATCGTCGAAGCAACATGTGTGCCGTGGTGTGGTTGTTAGTTTCACGGTAAAGAAGTTTGTAGACCCGGTGTTCAGGAGTTCGGTCCTGGTCACGGATTAAGTTTTTATTTTTTTTTCTATTTACTTTATTTTATTTTTTTAAAATTTATTTTTCGATATTTCAACGTGAATAAAGTGTTATATATATAAAAATAATTATTTTACTTTGGGGAAGAGGGAATATTAGCTAAAAAACGAATAAATATCGTCTCCGGAGCTACGCACACGACTCACTCCGTAACTCCTTTTAATATTAACTTATAATTTTCAAACTCTGTCAGAAATTAGAGTTTTATAAACCAAGCAATCGTACCAAAGGAACTTTTTATACACTAATTAGGGGGCACAAATTGGGCCAAAATAGATTTTGTTAATTTACCGGAAGGAAGTTCTTTAATTGTCATTTTGTGATGGGATGGGGGCAATGCGTAACCTTTTTTTTCGTTTCCGCTGGATATAAATAAATATAACACAATAGCAATTTAGTGTAAACCATGAACGCGTTGAAGAACTTATAAACGAATTAAAATGTGCAAAAAAAATATTTGTAGAATTTTTTCATATTTTTTTATTAATGCTTTGTGGTGCGCCTTTACCTCAGGTACCGTACGCACGTGCTTAGTTTGCTTGAGGGTTAATTCGGCCCTGCTTTTAATAAATATTTATCATTTATTTTAATAATGGCCGAAAATATTTTGAATTGCAAAGTATACAATTTTTTGCATCAATTCGAAGAATATAATTTTACTTCGCAAAATACAAAGTTTAAGGGAAATTGGTCAAATAGTTCCTGGGAAATTGAATTTTAAATATCTGACTTTTTTTCGAAATTCAATTTATCAAGAACTTTTTACCTGATTTTGCTCAAATTTTGTATTTTGCCATGTAAAATTACATTCTTTAAAGTGATGCAAAAAATTTTACACATTCCAATTCAAAGTTTTATCGGCAATTTTTAAATAAAATAATAAATATTTATTAAAAGTTTTTTTTAATTATTTTTTTTGTATGGTATTATCGTTGAATAAACGAATTTTATAATGGTGTGGTGCAAAAATGTTTCTATTTGCTTTAAAAGTTCTCGAGACATAGCGAAATACGCAAAAAGTAAAATTATCGTTAAGGGGTTCAAAGTTTGGACTGCTCTCCTGACCAAACTATTGGGACCGGACCAAATTTCCCAGATTGCGGCTACCTCCTTTATTTTTGGGATCGGAATCTGTCAAAAAATAGTTTTGTTTTTGTGTCTGATTTCGTAACTTAAAATCTTCTGCACTTATTAATTAGCAAATTTGAGGTCTACGCCTCGAGCCATTAAACTTGAGTCCTAAAACGTGTAGATCCGACCATTAGATCCAAAGTTATTCAGAGTAATCCGTTTTTTTTTTGTGCATTGTAGAGGAATATTTCCAATAAATCATGAATATAATATATTCCCTTATAAGTAAACTAATTATAATTTTATTTTTTACAGAAAGTATAAATGTTTGTTTAAATGAGGAAATTTTTTTTAAACGGAACAATTCAAGGGTTTAGTTAAGTTACTATCATTATTTAGTACAGTTATTAGAATACATTTCCTAAGTACATGTTATTTTATTATGTTAATATAGTTTAGTAGGTCAACATTTTAGTCTATACAGCTGAGCATCAATCAAAAGAACAGTTTCAAATTTCGGTTTTATTCATACAAAACTGAAAAATGAACTTGGAGTACAGAGGGCATCAAATTTTTTTGTAATCGCTTGATTTGGGGAAAAGAGGAGTAAAAATGGAAGGAAATGAAAACTGATTTTAAATTTAAAGAATAAGATAATTGTTAAGTGTTTTTTTTTATACATAAGATAATTGCTTTTGTATTTGTATTTTCATTAATTAAACAAATAAAGGGATTGGAACAATTTGACACATTTTTATTTATTTAATATTTAAACACTAAATTAACAGAAATTTTCAAAACAAAAAGAGTTTTATGTTAAATTAATTCAAGAACATAATTGAAGGAACACACACTGGTAAGTTGTAAGATTCAAATTTATAACTACAAATTCCCATGTGGTTTTTCAAATCCCGATACATTTCTTATGATATTATGGTTCGTGAATCATATTGCGCATAAAATTCCACACTTTTTAACTTGCTTTAAGGCTTCTACGTGATTTTAAAAATTTCGTATCTTTTTACGATTTCTTACGACAAGAGAGTTTCCAACCGCATGCTTAAACATAGTGCGTAGCGTTTTTAGAAGAGCTTAAAGGTGTTTATTTTTGATTTTCGTTTTTTAAAAGCCCTTAAAGGTGCTTTTATCATGGGGTATTTTGAAAAAGTGCTTAATTTTTCCTTTTCGAAAATGAAATTTTTTTCCTTTACCATGTCGATTTTCGCTGCATATCATGCAAAAGCGTGGCTTTCACTTATTTCCATTCAACGTTTTCACAAATCATTCAACCACAATCTATTTCGGTGTACCGTCGGCCCGCAATGTATGATAGCACCCCGATCATGCTACATGTTTGATGAAATACTTGGGAGTTCGTATGTGCGTCAACTGAGCAGGGCTCGGTGAGATTCTAGCACTCTCATGTGCAACTCAGCTGCATTTTGCAAGATATTTTCAATTTCAGGCTTCATTTTCCAACCTCTGAAATAGAACCGAAAAATCTCTCGATCTTTTTATGGTGGCTAATGTAATCAAGAAAAAGACTTCTCTATCAGAAACTAGTTATTTTATCATGATCATGTAAAGTCTTTGAAACTATCTTGCATTTTGTTAATATATATAGTGCTTACAAATATTTTTTGAGTGCTTAAAAAGTACTTTAAAGGTGCTTATTTTTTGTTGAGAGATTTGGTTATGCACCCTGTTAAATAATCACTTTTTGAAGCCCTTTATTTTAGCCGATTTCATTGTAAATCCAAGTTATTTTTCAAGCACATCATACAATTTAATGAGTACCGATTGATGTCCTTCATTCATAATAATTTCATTATAAATGTAAGCATTTTTTTTTGTTGCAATTATTGTATTGCATTTCCGTCCAATTTTAACGATTCTGTTACTTTAATTATGGTGTTTCAAGGAATGCTTACAAATTAGTGGCTATTATTTGTATTGCAAAGTTCACTACACTCCTTTAAAAAAAGCACCTTTTATTACCAACGACTGAAAAAGTAATAACGCTATATCACGAGATAAACTATTCATAGCCATTCTGATTCATTTCTAGTTAGTATCTCTAGTAGAGTTTCACCTTCGTGCTGTAATTTTAATAATTAATTAGTAGTTTATGTATTAAAATAATTAGTTAAATATATATATTAGTTAAAACATTTAGTGACAGTAAGGATTATTACATTTCTTTTTTTTAAAAAATTAACTATAGTAGAAGCCATTTTATTTTATTTTATGGTGTGCAATAGAAAAATCAACGTTAACGACAAAAATACAAAATTAAGTTTTTCATATATTTACCACATTTTATATTTAATATATTTTACATTTCATACATATTTTGATACATACTTATTACATTTTTGTATAGCAAGCTACATATTGAAAAAAAATCCAAAAATAAATTTTATCAGTTTTTCAAATTCTTTTTTAGCATTAACAATAAAAAGATAACATTTGTCAATCCACTTTTCTTGAAGCGTGTTGTGAAGTATTTACATTGTGTTTTTAATTGCACAGCAGTATAGTAGTTTTGCTACTTGTAACAAAGTTAGTTCCAACCATCAGTAATCAGAAATGATTGTGCTCTGGAGAAAAAGTCTGGATTTCGCTAACCGAGATCCAAAGTTTTCGGAAAGCCAAGGTGCAGAAGTTTCAGGAAATCATCGATCACATTGATGAATAAAAATTCTTGTATATTTTATTTAGAAATATTAGAACCAGAATTTATACTTGGCAGCTCTTTCATTTGTAAATATTTTTCTAGTAGAATAATAAATGTGCTTTCACATAAAAGTAAACTTTTACATAATTATCCATTTAAATTATGCTACATTTAAATATTTAGAATTTCATGTTTTGAAAATATCAAGTTTGAATTTATAAAGACATTCATTTTTGGAATATTCGCACTAATGATTTCACTCAAGAAAATTTCAGGATTTTTGAGTTGAGCTTGAGTTTTGAGTAATACAGTATAACATCTGTTTTAAATGAAAACAATCGAAGAAAAATATCCAAATTTTTATTTATAACTATACAAATTCATACATCAAAGTGTTAAACTAATAAATAATAAAATGAAGGAACATAATAATTCAGTAAAACTGGAATGCTGAGTCATGCTGAGGTTGCTATTCCAAGATAATCATTACGAGGGTATCGGGTGTAGAATGATTTCAGCATTTTGGAATTTGTTGTTAATACATATATTTCACGGCTGTAAAAGAATTTGAAATATTAATAATTATTTATGCTAGTTATGGAAATAATGTGGGAAGGAACAGATAAAACATTTTTGAGATGTAAAATTTAATGACAGTGACTCAGAAAACACTTTTTTTACATAAATACTTTTGTGGCTTTCTGGCCAGTAAATATACGACAGAGGCAGGGTTGCAAAAAACTCACCAACCCAGAAAAACCCACCCTAAAGTGAGCTTTACTGGGTTAATCTAAAATTGATGTCTTTTTTTATCCTGTTATATTAAAGAGCTATTTTATTGAAATATGTATGTAGTCTAGCATAAAAAAAATGAACCTATGGTGAAAAAATTAACAACAATCTGAAAAGAAAAATTATTTGTGGAATTCATGAAGAAAAATGCGTAGGTTTCATATAAAAAACAGAATAATTTGTGTATAAATCATACCACAATAAAAGTTATTTCATAAGGATTTTAATTAAAAATAAACACAGACAGAGGAAATACATTATAAATTGATCAAGTTATCAGAGTTATAATACTATCTAGATTTGACTGGATGGCCATTGATTCATATATATATATATATATATATAAAAGTTCAAAATGAAGATAAAACAAAGGAAAACTATAGACATATGAAAAAGGGGAGTAAAATAATAATTAAAAAATAACAAACAACTGATTAAAAAAGAAGAAAAAGAATAAATTTTTAAAAAAAAAAAAAAAAACGGAAAAATATATTGATACCTGCTTTGAGTTTTCTTTTATGATTATAAAATTTAAGAGCCTGCTTTAAAAATAAAGTTTTAGCAGTACTTGAAAATTATATTATCTAACATAACCAGGTAAAAATTCTGATTTTGTATGCNTTACAACAAATAAAATAGAACACAATAAGTAAAAATAACACATAAAAACAGGAAATAAAAATAAAAAACAGTATATACGATCATATATATATAAGTGCTAAGCATTTTCCACATGCGATAAAATCGTAAATTTGACAAATGAATTTTTTTACTGTAAAGAAAAATTTTAACTTGATCCTAAAAATTACATCAAAATGAATTCTAACCAAATCATTATTTTTTATTCGATTACAGTAATTTAACTACAGATTTGCCACACAAACAATTAGATTTGGTTCCAAATAATAAAAGACCGAAACAAACTATCGAAAAACGCAGATTCAACCCCGTTAAATAATTTTATGGGAAACAAAATTAATCATAAAACTTCTTTATTTTATAACAAACGTTGAACAGTGGACCTAATTTTGGGTTTACAACTACTAATGTTCAACTACATAGCCTTGTAATTTTGAACCAATCCAGAAGACATGGAAACTCCTGGATCAGTACCCCCANATTTGCTATGGGAGCATGAAGGACTTTGTGACTCGACAGATTTAACATGCATCAGTCACCATTTACTACACAGGGAAACTTGAGCCGGCGGGGTTCGAAAACACGACCTCTTGGACATGGGCCCAGTGCCCTACAAACCAGGCTATCTTGGTCCCAATCATAAAAATTTCCAATTGACGAAGATTTTTGAAAATCGGTGAATACTTTTGATACTTGGTTAGATCTGAGTGCAGCGTGACGTCATGAGGGAAGTCGTAGCTTCAGCTCTAAGAAAGGAATAAACCAGCCTCTCTTTTCTTTAGCCAAGGGGCATAATCACTGTTGCCATTTAGATGGAAGAAAAATTCATGTATTTGGTTTGATCCAGATTTTATTATAGGTTCTTAACTTCTTAGCAACAACAGAATTTTCCATACAAGTTGGAGGATGTAAATCAGAGGCAAAGAAACGATCATATCAATGAGTTTTCTCAACAAATTTGTAACTAAGTAAAACAGTTTAGAAACCTACAAAGTGGGGCTCAGCAGTCAACAAACACATCTTGCATAGGTTAGAAAACAAAGGAGGCAATTAATGCCCTGTAATGTATTTTATTTTCAAAGCAAAAAAAAAAAAGAAAAATGAAGCTGAAGTGACTTACATTAGAGGCTGAGGTAGTAATTCTATCCTTAGATTTGATTTTATTACTTCAAGTTGACAAAGTCGTTGCAATGTAGGAACTAAATTAAGAACAGAAAATATTAATCAGAATTTATATATTTCTTATATTTTTAAAAGGAAAATACAATAATAATAATAAATAAAAAAAATATCATGCAAAGTATTCAAGTTGTTTCAAATAAATTAATGATTAAAATAAGAGTGAAACTACGAGTAATAATGCAAAAATAATTTTCAAATCATAATAAAGTCCCCGGCCAAATTATTAGATACACTATAAGATTCTATGTAAAATCTTAATTGTCATTTGATACTGTACAGCTGTATTGTTTTTTCGGCTGAAACTGGTTTACACATATTTACGTTAGTGTATCAATTGGTTAACAGTGTAATGTAATACATTAATAATAAATACAAATAGGAAGTAAATAAAATCTTAATTGTCATTTGATACTGTACAGCTATATTGTTTTTTCGGCTGAAACTGGTTTACACATATTTACGTTAGTGTATCAATTGGTTAACAGTGCAATGTAATACATTAATAATAAATACAAATAGGAAGTAAATAAAAAAATCTTCTGAATGAAATCTCAATATATGTGTGTTTAAATATAAAAGTATTGCCTATAAACTCATGCAAAACATGTAATTATTAACAAACTAGAGTGTCTAACAATTTGGTCTAATTATTATAATATACTAATACAATACCTGATATAATGAATGTTCTATATTTATGTAATATATCGTCTAATTTATATTATATATCGTCCAATTTAAACCATTGATACATGAACGTAAACAAGTGCAAACCGGTTTCAGTCATGTAAAAACAATAATGCTTAATAGCATCACCTGATTAACATTTTACATAGATTCTTATAGTGCGTCTAATAATTTGGCCAGAGACTGTAAATACTATTAGATAAAACTTAAAAAAATTATATTACACCACAACAATTTTGGTAGAAAATAGTAGCCTTACATATAAAAATATGTTGCCTAAGTAGTCTCCTCAGAGAAATAATGTAGATACTATTTTCATACATGCAGTAGTAAAAAAATAATTAAAAAAAACGTCTCATTATACACTTGTACAAGATAATAACTTAAAACTTAGCTAGATTAGAACTAGATTAAACCATATTTACTAATCAACTACTATTACAATAGCAGATCAATATTTTTTTGCTACTTTTAAAAATATCATGAATAACATAAAAAGGAAATTAAAGAGATAAATTTTGAAAGTTCAAGGTTAATAAATTCATTTTGATTTTGAGAACTAAGAATACTATACTGTTAAGTAAATATTTGATTAAAATAAACAATTGATCAAGATTCAAAATGAAGGTTAATTATATAAAATATTTTAAAAAAATGATTAAGTGATAAAGATGAAAATATTTAAAGATAAAAAAGATTAGGCACTTTAAAGATTTTTTAATATCTGATTTGGAGATCATGAAAAAAAAAATTAATGAACATTTCAATATGCGTTTCTATTTAAAAGGTATTTATTTTAAAAAAAAATATATATATATAACATAAAATATATATATATACAAGTTTTCAAATATAATACAGTTTCCTGCTTAGAGTTTACTAATACAGTACAGAACCCGTTATCCGGAAATCAGAAAACCGGAAANGATTAAGTGATAAAGATGAAAATATTTAAAGATAAAAAAGATTAGGCACTTTAAAGATTTTTTAATATCTGATTTAGAGATCATGAAAAAAAAATTAATGAACATTTCAATATGCATTTCCATTTAAAAGGTATTTATTTAAAAAAAAATATATATATATATATATAACTTGCAAGTTTTCAAATATAATACAGTTTCCTGTTTAGAGTTTACTAATATTATAACTTTAAAGAGAAAAATCAATTTTTAGTATATTTTTTAAATAACATCTAATTTTTATAAAAAGAAAATTAATTGAAAATAAAACATTTAAAATTACAAAGAAAAAAAATATATAGCATTGAAAAAATTTGCTACGAAATGTTTTTTTAGCTAATTTTATCTTTAAACATATTACATAATAGGTTATACAGATTCCAGAAGTCTATAAAATTAAAATAAACAATATGTATATATCGTATATCTCACTGCATAAGTCAGCCACCTATTTTTGATGGCAAATTTCCAAAAAGTCTGGAGTACAAACCGACCACTAAAGTAGATTATTATTCCTACAAACCTCATGTTTAAAACGATAGTAGACATACTACATTTTTGTGGATTCAAATGTTACCTTTAAATATTTTAAAAAGAGGAGTTTTGAATTCTCCAGTCTTTCAATGCTAAATTAATATATATACTCATAAGAAATTTATGATCAGAGCAAAAAGAAAAGGTTAATTTATTTTCAAAAATAAGTTATTATTTTCCTCATGGCTTTGGATAAAACAGGGTCAAGACTCAGGCAAAACACGAAAAAAAGCATGACATCATCTAACTATTATTTTAACACATTGACTAGAACTTTATTATTTTACACAGTAGTTAAGTAAATATTTTCTTTTAACACATTGTAATTCTTACAAAATATGTCATTCTGATGAAGAAAAAAAAAAGACTTTCAAAATCTCATGCAATATTTATATACTTCTGATGCTACATCCATATACTCCTGAAAAATATGATATAATTAGGGCAGAAAAAAAGAATTGGCATTCATTATTATTCTCTAGACAATTCAGGGTCAGTGCAAAAGTCGGAATATCACATCTTTAGAGTAACTAATTCAAGAAAAAACTTACTTCTTACAAGAATCGCGATATTGCATACCTGCCAACTTTTAATCCATTCGAGGATGATTTTCCCTAGTGATAGTAAATTAGAATTTAAATTACAATTTTAGGCAGAAACACTGGCTGTGTTTTGATAAAGATTATGCGAACTGACACTACAGTATTACATATTAATACATAACTTCATTTTTTAAAAAATAGTGGTTGTCCTAAAGATTTTAAATTAAGTTTATAAATTCAAGGAATACATAGAAAACATGCATTTTACTACCACTTTAAATATAGAAATAAAATATTACGCCAAATGTGTAAAAGGTGGCAGGTATGATATTGGATTTTAAAATTGCATTATTGAATTTTTAAAACACACAAATACGAATCACTGTGCATAGTCATTAAATCGCATGAATACGAATCGCAATACTGGATTTTAAATCAGGTATATACGAAAATCGATGTTTCATATTAAAATCGCGTGAATAAGAATCCAAATATTAGCAGATTCCGGTGCGGTTCCAAATATTTAAAAAGGTGAAAATCCGCCTAACCAAAAGAATCAAAATGGCGAAAGAATTACGTAAAGCGTAATTCTTCACGTGATTAGCAAAATAATGTATGTAAACGACCCGTTAATAGAATTTAGAAAAAGCTTCAAAATTTTGAACGATTCTAAGTTTTTGATTCGCGGAAGTCCGCAACCAACGGTCTTGATTGATGCGGAATTCTATGATACTTGCGCAAAAATCGTATGTCCCCTTCCTAGTTTTTTAGACCCAGAATTATGATACTAAAAACCAGGAATTTTGGAGTACCCCCGGAATACAATCACACCTGATTTTTTGAAATAAAGTACGTAGTCAAATAATTAGTATTTAAACACATTTAATGCTTGAAGAAAAGTAAATTTAACTTTTATTATTTTTTTATACCAAAAATGGCAACCATTTAAAAATAAATAAATACAGTTGGGAACCGATTATCCGGAACGATCGGGACCATCGATATTCCGGATAACTGATTTTTCCGGTTTTTTGAATCTCTACAAAAAGCCGTTTTTTTAAAAGTTAAACCCAACTAAAAAAAAAAAAATTGGAAATAATCTTAAAAAGAAGAAAAAACGATGAAGTAATACACTAATGATTATTTCCAAAATGATGGTAAGGTAAACAGCTTTCAAAAAAGAACGAAAAATCCTAATATCCTATGAGAAAAAAATTGTTTTGTTTTTTTTTAAAATTTCGTTCCAGTTTTTTGGTTTTCCGGTTTTCTGATTTCCGGATAACGGTTCTGTACTGTAGTTGAATTTACTTATACTCAGTTAACAGAAAAGTACCTTATCAAGTATTAAAATTCAAAAACACTTACAGAAATCTAAAATATATAAATCTGAATGATCTTGGAGTGTACGATTTTCTTGAGTATCATTGCTATAGTGTCTGGCATATTCATCTTCATTGAGGGGACTAGAGAGAGAAGAAATATATTAACGATGTTACATGGAAAATTGTTCCCTTTAAAAAGGATGAGCAAAGAAATACATACATTTTACTGGAATGATGTCCATTTCTAACACTAAAAATACCAAAACCGGTCAAATGACCATCTAAGAACTTTTGCATTGAAAATGCTCTTAATCCCCGATGTGAAAATCCATGACTTTCTAGGTGCGCAGATACCCTGAACATTGTATGTAAAATGAGTTTAGCTTGTGCATTAAAATTATACACCATATTTCTGACCACTTTAATTATTTTACGGAAATATTATTGTAATTTCATAGAAACTAAAAGGTGTTATGGTACTTTCACTTCATGGCAAGCTGGTTCCTAAAAATTGATTCTGGCTCCTAGAAATAACATCTGGGGACCAGAGCTGTATTTCTTTATTTTAAATAGAATGGGTTAATAAAACTTGATCAGTGTTACAACTTTCATTTGCTTGATAAAAACATCTTGAAATATAGTTTAGTTTAATATCACTTCTTTTCATGTTTACTCTGTTTTTCTTATTCCCGAATGGCAGAATTTTTTCAAGCTATCTGCAATAAAACTCCCTAGCACTGTCTTTCTGCAAGATATTTTTAATCATAACAAAGATATTTGTTACTAATTTAAAATAACAAAAGCATCGTGTTTGCAAAAAAAACGAAAATATTTATTTATTTATTTATTTATTTCAAATGGCAGAGGTAATTGACATGAAAAAGCAAAAACATAGGAACAAAACAAGAAAGTAAAAAGTCATTTCCTTAGGAGCTCTCTTGCTTCCCAATATCGCTCGGTAGACGACGACCCGCGGAGGGTCCTGCAGCACAGGATGTGGCTGCCATCCAAAACAGCTTGGCTCATGCATAGAGAACAATAGGGATCAGGTGCCAGCCCTAAACGGTGCGCGGCAAGGCAGTCATGTCCGGTATGTAGTCGAAACTGAGTCACCGCTTCGCGGCGCGGCCAGTCTGGAATGGTGTTCTGTTGAAGATCTCTCCACACTTTGGTTTTTACCCTTTCTGACAATTGTTGGTGGAAATCCCCATGGATTTTTGATCTAATAATCCTTTTTAAAGCTGAAAAGGGGACTGGGCTACTAAGAGCCTGGAGAATTCTTGTGCCTCCCTTTGCCAAAACATCAGCACTCTCATTTCCTGCAATATCACAATGCCCGGGATCTACCTCCCCATGGTGTACCCTGGTAACGTCTTTTGACGGCTAAGAGATCTGTAGTTTCCGGCATGTCTTCGCTTTGCTCCCGCCCCTCGAGGGTTTTCGGATTGAGCGTCCTGCAGTGGAATGGTGGCCTTTCCCAGACAAAAAGGCTCGATTTGCTGCGTTCACTTGGGGATCACGACATTGATATTTTTACGTTACAAGAAGCCAATCTTACAGAGGAAACTCTTTGTTTCTTTCCATTTCAAGGTTATCATCTATTTTTATTACCAAAACGAAAATAACTATTATATTTTTTTACTGAACATGTGATAATTTTTTATTCTAATATTAAAGGTGATATTCTTGCATTTTTTTGGAATGCACTAATTATTTTCTGCGTCACATTTTGTAAATAATCATCACAATAAAAAATAAATAAAATCATGAAATCCGTTGCCGAAAAAAAAAGAAAGATCGATGACAAACTCAAGCGAGTCGGACTCCTCAAATGAGTATTTCGTTTCGAGATTAGGTTGTAACAAATAATATCATATATAAAATACCTTATTTAAAACCTATGGAGAAAATCAACAGCAATAATTGCTAAAAATTCGATAGTATTATTGCCTTGAAAAGTAAATACTCAACTCCACAATTCGAGTTCTTCATATTGTTTGAAATATATGGGGATACTTAAAAACCATATCAATATCAATAACTGCCGAAACTTCAATCGAAACATTACATCCATTTACTACGCTATCTGCATAAATTGAGCATGTCAGAAAGGGATTATCCAAATGTATGATTCAAAATATTACGAGGAATTTACGAGAAAACTGAAAAATTTTCCTTTTCAAACGAAAAATCTTTCTGCAAGAACTCTGTAACGTTCTGCAACAATGTCACCGTGTCATTGTGATTTTCTGCCATGAAGTTTTTATCTAAATCAATTCAATCAGTTAGGTAAATCAATCAAATTGAATAACTAACGAAGTACCTGCTGCCACCAAATAGAAACATGTGATCTCCAATGACACAAGAACAATGGCGCCTTCTGGGACACGGAGGTTCACCTTTAGGATGCATTTCATACCACATTCTTTTTTCTGTGCATTGAACAAAAATATTAATTCCAGAAAACAAAACATAAAATAAAGATATTGAAGAATATGCAATGGATAAAAGCTGTTAACTTTTACACTTGAAATCATTAAAGTGTAACATAACATAACATGAAAAGCGCTCATTTCCATAGAAAGGGATTTTAATATTCTCTTGGGCCAACTCTAGAGCAAATGTAAGATGCGATACGGTCAGGCATTAAAACATAAAACTATTCCCTTATAGTGTTCAGTGGCATCTTGCTCTACAGTTGCAAAATCACCGCTAACTCAGAGGTTGTCACTTGTTGTCTCAAGTTGTCCAAATACTCATTTCGTGACAAATTTGGGGATCGTTCAGGCCAGAGAAAGACATTTTGTGACACCCTTATTGTGTGTGGTTTAGCAAAATGGATCCTTGAAGCACTGCCATGAGTATCAACACATGTGGCTGAAGGATGTCACGAACTTACTGCTGGGCTGTCATGGCACTGTGCTTCAATATTAGGAAGTATTTATCTGTGATATGCGATGGCACCTAATACCATCATACCAGCTACAAAAGCAGTGGGCTGCTGTATAGGGAGGGCATGATTGTCCACCCATTGTTTACTCTTTTTGGAGTGGTACTGCTCTCGACGGTAAGGGACAAGCCAACGGGAAGGAGCAAACGAATTAAACTAGGTCATCCTCAATAATGAATCCAGATAAAATTTAGATAATGATGACCATTGTGTATCTGCCCGGTAGTGAACAACTAAATCCTACCTACACTGTACAGCAGCACATCACTTCTACAACTGGTGGGATGGGATTGCATACAACATAAAATCACCCATAATATTGATCCACAACCATGACAGAACAATGGTACATTCGTGACAACCTTCAGCCACATACGTTGTCTCTTATGTCAGCCCTCCTAGGAGCCCTTCTTCAACAAGATAATGCTCTACCATACACAGCAAAGATGCCCCAGGAATACCCCCACCACATCATTACTCTTCCTTGATTTGTTCGATCCCCAAACGAGCATATCTGGAACTACTTAGGATGGCAAGTTTACAGACTCTGAGTTTAATCAATTTAGCAGTATTTTTACAGCAACTGTAGAATGAGATGCCACAAGAACGTCATAATGGAACTATGTGCCTGACTTTATTGCATTCTACATTCATGCTAACAGTGGTACAAGTGGATACTAAAATCTTCAGTTATTGTATTTTTACCTGCGATAAATTATGATTTTGCTTTGATTTTTGAATCACTTATTTATATCAATTTTATACTTAGGTTAGGGAGGCACAACCTTTTTGACTGAAGGGGCACTTGCACAGCGGGTTGATTTATGAAGGGCCACATGCATATTTTGTCCTGTTGGTGACAATTGGCAAATATAATATTGTCATATAAAAGTTAGTGTTCTAAGGCAATGGTTCCCAATTTTCTTTAGCTATGGAACTGTAAATAATTTACCCTCACTAAGCGGAACCCAGATTTTATAGATAAAGCTTATTAAAGCAATTGTGAACATCATAATCTATAAAAAAACACTATTTTTAAAATATTTAATGAGAGGAATGAAGATTTTCCATTGTTTTATCATTAATAATCTTAAATTATATTTTGAGTTCGACAGTTAAATTTTCAGTTCTTGTGCTATATGTAGTTATGAATTTCTTTTCCGTGTACATCATAAATTGAAAATGAACAAAATAAGCCTAATTATAGTTTATATTCAAATGAAAACTTTAAAGTGCCATAAGAGTTGAAAATGGTTAATAAGGAAACATATCATTAAAGAATTTAATTATTTTATTTTGATTTGAAAAGCGCAATAGGAAATACTAATGCAATATTTTATAAATTATTCTTCTATTTTTAATCAATATAATGATAAGAAAGATATTTTAAAAAATGCCATTTTTATCTTATTAGCATTTTACTTTAAATTATTTCCTAAAGGAAATTGAAGTATTAAATGAGACATGAATTAAAGGTATAATTGGAGCTTTAAAAACTCATCACTGGTTTTAAGAAGTATTAATTCACAGAACTCTGTTCATGGAAACCTAGGGTTCCGTGGAACATCATTTGGGAACCACTGTTGTAAGCACTAAATTTTTCTTATCAAAAAAATTATTAGAATTGCAAAAATTTAAATACTTTTATCTATTAAAATTCATTTCAAAATTAAAAAAACTCATACTTTTTCTAAAAATAAATTTCCCTTTTTATCAATTAATTTGTCAAAAAATATATACATACATATTCTAGGGGGAAAATATAAAGTCTAACCCCCCCCCCCAAAAAAAAATGAATAATGCTCGCAGAATAAATGTATAAAAAATACATATTTTAATTAAAGAAAATTTATGAGGATTAAAGAAAAATTAAAATAAAATAAAATTCAATATTTTGTTATTATTATACTCCAGATATTATACATATATCTGAATTATTAGAGGTTTCATGAATTTTAAATAGGAAACGCTTCTTTTTCCTATTATTTATTTATTTATTCACCAGTCTTTTAATAAAAAGCATTATTTATTCAATTTGATTAAATTTAATAAATATGGATTAATTTTAATTAAATAAGGATTGTTTATACATTTCATATCTTCTCTTTAGGAAGGTTTGATAATTTGTGTTAAAAATATGTTTCTTATTTAAAAAAATATTACTTTCTTTTAAAATTAAAATCACTCAATTAATCTTACTGATCTATTCCTTTCCATAATTACTTTTTAATCAATGCTAATATATCTGGCTTCAATTGTTAACTATGATTTTGTTTTTAAAAATGTTCTTACGTTGATTAAATATGATTTAACTTCAATAATGATTACTTTTTTTTTGCAAGAACTTCATACTTATAAGAAATGGATTCTTTTCAATATTGCCTAGTAAATTCCCTTAATCTTATTTCCCCTTTCAGATACTTTTATAGTTCTGATAATTTATTATTTGTAATTAGAGTTGACATTATTTGAATTCCCTGATTTTTAAATAAAATTTACTTATTAATGCTTTCATAAGAGCACAATTAATGCTTTCATAAGAACTTATAGCTAAGAACTTATAACTTAGAAGCTTTCATAAGAAAATCTTGTCAGGGCAAAATGTTTTTCTTTTTGAGTAAAAACCCTGATTATTTCCATTCCTTGTCTTGAAATAAGATCGAAAACTCATCTCAATGCTCCATTATGTGCTTTACATCTTCCTCATGTACCTCTTGAGTATCAAATAACATACATGCTCATCATCATCTTCATAGTAGGCCATACAGCTCAATGTGGGCCAGTGCCTTCCTCTGAAGATTTCTCCATAATGACTTCTGATTTATCTTTGATCTCCAATTCTTTTCATTAATTGCAAGAAAATCAGATTCCACCGAGTCAACCAATCTCAACCACGGTCTTCCTCACTTTTTTGTTCCAGAGAGTTTAAAAAGCAGCATCTTTTTTATTGTACTGTCATCACTCATTCGAATCACGTTGGCCATCCAATTCATTCTATTTATTTTTATGTATTTAATAATATCGGGTTGTTTATAAATCTTGTACAGTTTCTGTATCTTTTTCCAATTATTGTTTTCATTTACACCACCAAGTATACTCCACAAAATCTTTCTCTCAAGTATTGCAATACAATTTTCCTCCAGTTTTGTCATTGTCCAAGCCTCAGAAGTGTATGTCAAAACTGGGCTGACAAGAGTGTTGTAGATTACGAACTTTGTTTTCCAGAAACAAACCTAGATTTAAGAAATCTTCTCAGCCCATAGACAGCCCTATTTGCCAGATAGAGTCGGTTTTTTATTTCATGATAACATACATGATATTGTTTGAAAAAGCGAACTCCATCCCTAATAATTTGACGAACAGTATGCAGCACCATTTTTTAAAAGTTTCTACAGTGATTTCAGAAAGGATGGAAAATAAATCTAAATAATTACTTTGTAACAAGTTTTATTCCTATAAAATACAAAATTATTCTAAATAAATATTTAATGTATAACTAACAATTCAACATTATTTAAACTATCACTTAAGACTACCGAACAAAATGAACCCAAATAAATACTTATTATATAACTAATTATTTAGGTAAAATTCAGAAAAAATTAGTTTTTGACAATATTAGTGATAAAAGAGACTTCTAAGAACCAAATTGTAAAATAGAGACCTTTAAGGCAAAAAGACTCCCTGGGAGCCCTATGTTATCTGGTGACTATTCTGGAAACTAGTAGGTATATCTGGGAACAATATTAAGGAACAATTTGATGTAAAAATGTCACCTCGGAAAAAAATAGAAGTAAATCATTATATTGACCTAACACTTTATATATAAGAGGTATTTTGAAATTCTCAACCCTTTAAATATCCTTGTTAAAAAAAAAAGAATTTAAATCCAGGGTCATAAATTAGTATTTAAGCTAGGAAAGGACTAAAAGGTTATCAAAACCTGAAAATTCTTAAGTGAGGAGTTAGGATTAAAAACAACAAAACTGGTTTGATTGTTTAAAAAAAAAACTTGAAGGCGTTTCTAATGATTGCTGTTCGCCTAATTTCTGTTTCACTTGGCAATCAAACAGGCTTTATGTTTATCTCCTCATTTATGGTTTGGTAGGTTTTGATAATATTTTTTCTCATATACATTGCTACTAATTTGCAATACTGTGTACATTTCTACATTCAGAAAAATCTAAAAATATTTATTAAAGGTGGTAGTTATGAAATATATATACGTATATAAAAAAGCTCATACCTGGATTAAATTTATAAATGTCGTTTAAATGGTATTTAGTGTGGCCGTTGAATCCTCCAGTTATGTAGATTTCATTATGATACACAACTATTAAAAAAAAAAGATAAATATATAAATAAAACATTTATTGCACAAGCAAAAGTAAATTAAAAGAATATATCAATCTTGTACACTCTTTAAAATACTTTAACTTTCTTTAAAAGATAAAGCAATCAAAATAAAAATGGTTATTTAAAATGATGGATCGCATTGATTAATTGAAAATTGTGATGAAAACAGGATGATGACAATAACAGTTGAAGATAAAAACTGGATCATGATTGATAAAACTTTTATTTAGTAGTATTTGTACAGCTCGAGATACAAAATTTATATTTTTATCCATAGGACTTTTAATTGTATAAATTTTGCATAATAATATTAATAAGGACAGATCATGGGAGAAAAATCTCCCATGAGTTGCCTATTCAAAAGCCAAATTAAAAAGTAACTGAATTGTTCTCAACAGATATTTAGGATCATGAGAAGAGATCCATGGTTGGTAATTTTTCAAAAAGTAACACAGCCAAAATCAAAGCCAACCCCCCATAATCAATATTAGGTTCGAAAAATACTCTGGTGATCGCAATTCGCCAACAAGACTGTGAGAATTAATATAACCGTGTAACTGAAACATATTTGCGGTAAGAAATTTAAGAATAAAGAGTTATAAATAGATTTTTGTTTTCGATTGGGCGAGACAGTGAATTAATGAGTCTACATTAGTATTGAAATAAAAAATTAGCCATTACAATGATCGATTAGAAAAGAATAAAATATTTTATGTTCGCTTTTATACAGATAACTCATTGATTTAATTTAAATATAATTCATTGTTATTCGTGTCCACCTGAATTATTAAACATAATTCAGATTGGAGTGGTATTGGTTCTGATGGCATCAGTTGAGGTGGGAAAACTAGCGGCATTTTAGGAGGCATGGCTAATCGAGTGATTTTAAAAGCTAATTACAAAATAACTAGGAAACCCACTGAATTGAAATTGGTGTCTATCATCATAAAATGGCATGAAATTTCGTTTTAAAAAATACCACACAGGTTCCTTATTGAATGCTCTCTTAGAGCTGTTGCCACCCTCTCTTCTAAATGCTGCTGAACTAAGTGTCTTATACAGCACACCAGAAAAATTAAAAGCCTTCATAATTAAGTTACATGGATGTTTTGAGTATAGAGCTCTTTTCTTACCATCTTTAGACAAGCTTTATAAAATGGAAGAAAAAAACATAAATTCAATTGATTTTAAAATTGTCAATAAAAAGATTGAAGGTAAAAAAATTGCTTCGAAATTTGCATCTTTCTTCTGTTTGTCTGGTGTTGTTTCTTATACTACTACCAGCAAGCCGTCTATGAGAAATCAGGCAAATTTAAAGCAAGGGGTGTTTCTTGTTTTTCAGTGGTGCCACCTATGGCCAAGAATACAATTTCAGCCACACACATGTCACAGCCAGATTAACTGGGAGGACCCATACATACTCCATTTATTAATTCAATTGGCGGGGATAGCCTGGTCGGTAGGGCTCTGGAACCATGTCCGAGAGTTCGAACCTCGCCGGCCGAAGACTCCCCGTGTAGTAAAGTGACTGAAGCACATTAAATCTGGCGAATCGCAAAAGTCCTCCATATTCCAATAACAAATCAATACCTCTGGGGGTACTGGATTGAGATCGATCGTTCTTCGATTCAGGTCAAAATTACGATCTGTGGATGAATGAATGGATGTGTGAATGGGTCTGCCCTATAAACGGGTGCGATGTATGATGTGGCAGAAGTCGAATTCTTGGCCATAGATGGCGCCATTGAAAAACAAGAACAATCGCACCCCTTCTGCCTAAACAGGCATACGTCAACAACAACAACATTCATTTAATTTTGATCTAAACCAGAGAATAATCAATCTCCAGTTCAGTACCCCCAGAGGTTTTAATTTGTTATGGGAACTTGGAGGTCTTAATGACACTGACAGATTTAACATGCACCAGTCCTCATTTAATATAAGGGAGACTGGTGGGATTCGAACTGACATTCGAACATCCTCCGAAATAGGAATATCTAATAATTATTAATGGATGAATATAAGAACTACAAAGCTAGTTATTAAGTTAATAAACCAGTATTTACCGGCTGAGTGACTTCTGCGGCCACAAGGAAGCTTTCCTTCACAAAGTGGTTTGTCCCATTTCATAGATTTAGTGTCTAGAAACACAATTTCATTGTTGNAAGTACAGCAATGTTTCAGCTATTTTTCAACATAGCAACATAGAATTGAGACACTTGTCGTATCATGGGTTCAACTTTTGTATCCCTCTGTCGTAGAACTCTGCCGCCTGTGAATGGAACCAGCGTGTGACAGACGTCTTCAGCTTTTCATCGTTGCCAAAACGCTCACCGGAGGACAGGAGTTTCTTGAGGTGCAAGAAAACCTGAAAATCGCTGGGAGCAATATCAGGGCTGTAGGGAGGATGATCAAACAACTCCCAGCCAAATTCTGTCAAAACAGCTGCTGTGTGTCGTGCCGCATGTGGTCAAGCATTGTCATGAAGGAGCGCAATACCTGCAGTAAGCATTCCACGACTTTTGTTTTGAATAGCAAGTCACAATTTCCGCAGTGTTTCACTGTAACGATAAACGTCTGTCACATGCTGGTTCCATTCACAGGAGGCAGAGTTCTACGACAGAGGAATATTAAAGTTGATCCCACGATATGACAAGTGTTTCAATTCTAGTGGTGGCTATGTTGAAAAATAGCTGAAACATTGCTGTACTTGTTGCCAATAAATATGATCCTAAAAGTGTGAGTTCTTTTCTTTTAAAAATTTGGAAACTTACGTTCTGGATGCGCCTCGTATTATATACTGTGCCAAGGCATTGTGTCACACAGTAGGTCAGGGGTTCTATCCTCGAACCAGGCACGGTTGACTTAGCCTTTAATTGAGTCGATAGAATGAGAACTAAGCACGCTTGGGATTTAAGAATTAAGGATTTTGAGTTTGGCTCATAAAGTTAAAAAATTTGCAAGCCTCCACCTCGAATTATCGAGACTCTACTATACTATTATTTGTTTATTAGTTTCAAAATAATACTGATTTAATTAACTCAGATTATTTATTATTAAACAGAAAAATATAAAAACCGATATGATATATGTATTTAAATATACATAAGAGAAACAGAACAGAAAGAATTTTGAAGTAAAGAATAACTTGCAAGTGAAAATTGAAACATTCCCATACCTGTATTTAAAAAAAATAAATAATAATAAATAAAATAAAATAATATCAATTTAAAATATTTAATTGCAAATTCATAGCATCAACAGCATTTTAGTTTTTTATGTTCCCTAAAAATCACTTCCTTCTATAATCCCGACTGAGGAATCTCCCGAGCCACGCATAGGCACATGCCGTTTCACAAGCAGAGAGGTCTTGCTGGTCTGTGTTCAGGGGCAAATGGATTTATGGCATTAGACCAACGTGCGGATACTAATTGATGCAGAATAAAACTGACCTAGCTGACCTTTGTGAAGGAAGATAGATCTACTACAATGACATTTTTAATTTAAATTAATTCCTTGCCAGTATTGCCAGTTCAGGCAAGAGAAAAATTAACGTTTCTATTTTGCATAGCTGCCAACACAGATAGGAAAAAATCCAATAGATTTTACGAAATAATATAAATTTCATGATAATTGTCAGAAAATATACTAAATATTTTTCACATAGGGAATTTTAAGGATTTTTATAGTCATCAAAATAGAAAACCTGCATTATTTTCCAGTTATGATTTCACATTAAATGATCTTGAAATGTTATGTATTATGTTTATTCATAATTTTGAATAGTAATAGGCATTTAATTCATCAAAGATAGTTGATATAATTTTATGAATGAAGCTTGCTTTATTATGTATTAGTGACACTTATTTAAATATTCAAGCAAGCAATAATCAACACAAAAATTCAATTTTAATAGAGATTTTTCAAGGAAACTTACTCAATTTCTCAAGGAATTTTCTAAAATGTACAAGAACCAGGAGAATTTTTATTAAACTAGTAGACCAAGAGAAACTGGCAAAATCCAGTAGAGTTGGCAGCTATGATTTTGTGAAGCCTAAGCTAAATTTGTTTCTAATTTAGGACACTGAATTCTCTATTTTCATAATAGATGGCATTAGTGGTCTTAGTTTTTCACCGATTACGACTTCAATCGAGGGAGGGAAATGTGGGTGGTGTTTTTGGGATATACCATACTGTAAATTGTATGTATTGAAAATCAAATTGTTGTGTTTTCATATTATATTATACTAGTTATATTATATTTAGCTTCAAAATTTTATTTAATTTGCTGTAATTAGTATGCGATTTGTGTGTAATCCATTACTTTCTTATGTGTAAGTAAAAATTATAAATACAGTAGTTATTGCATTTAAAATTTTATTTTTGTAATAAAAAACCATTTTCTAGTTTTTATAATAATAAAAAGAACAAAATTAAACAGTCAAATTTTTTTTCTCCATTTTTCTGAAATATATGTCACTGTTAAGGGGTTAAACAGATTTCTGAATTAGAATGCTTTTTCAAAAACAGGGGTCTGTCAAGGTTTTTCTGAGAGATACCTATTTTGTGAAAATTAAAAATTATATTGAAAAATCGACACAAAAATATGGATTTCTTGTTCTTAGCGGGATACAAAAATAAAATTTTAAGAAAAAGTATTTCGTGAAACTACCATTTTTCCTAAAGTTGAATTTGTGAAGGTACTGCTAAATGGTAGTAAATTTGGCCTAGACAGACCCCTGAAAAAGGACAATTTACTTGGTACCGAATGCTTTAGTGAGGTTTTGTTGTGTATATACATTTAAGTTATACAGATGTAAAAATAAAATATCATTGATAAAAATAAATTTGATATAAAAAATGTCAAATTAAAAAGTGACACCTTCAAAACTTTAAATTTTTGGAACTTATTTAGGCAAAGCATTATACCAGAGCTTACTTTGGTGGGAACCTTTTCCCATTCAAAGGATTTTAGATTCAAGCGATGCACAGAATTTGAAAACATTTCAGTCTCTTCTTCATAGCCTCCAAATACATACATGAAACCATTAATGACGCAAGCAGAGTGGCCGTCCACTTTATGGGGGATGATTCCACTAGTGGGTACGATATTCCAGGCATAAGATTCTATTTGGAAAGACATCTCTATAACAACTTTATCTGAAGTATCATGTATACAGTCCGACCTCTATTTAACGAAGTCGCTAAACCCCAATAATAAGTTCATTATACAGAAAATTTGTTAAAAAGAAAATCACCTTTTGAAATATTTAAACGACACAAAACAGATTTTAAATTCACAAACACTAGACATAATTAAAATAGCAAATTGATACACCTTTATCTTGTAAACTAGTATCTACTATGTATTTTATAAATCTTAACCATAAAAGAAATCTGCACGAAAAGCAAGAATAGAGCAAAACATTATCCAGTGTAACACTATCATGCTACATACATTTACAACCAAAAAAAGCTAAATTTATGTATAAAATTATAGCTGCATTTATTATCGAAGTAATTTTAAACATACATTAACACACGTTCATAAGTTTAATTGCTACTGATAAAATCTGTTAATTTTGTCTATGTTTTTCGTTTGAAATGCAAACAAAAGTTAAGTGGCTTCAAAAATCTATCCAAGGTCATTTCCCCTTATAAAATGCGTTAACAAGCTTAAGATGTTCTGAAATATTTTGGGAGAAAGGGAAATTGGATCTCCAAGAAAAGTTCGTTAAACAGAAATTCACTTCGTTATTTGGAAGTTATTTTATGAAGAAATTTCCAAAATGTTCTTGGTTCCTCGAAAAAACTCGCAAAATAGACGAATTCAGAAAATGGAAGTTCGTTAAATAGCAGAAGTCCGACTGTATTTAGTTTTATTTGTGGAAGTAATAAAAAATTTCACTGAGGTTAACCCTTTTGGGCCTAGCATTTTTTAAAAAGGGGACAGTTCTTTTTTCCAAACAGAAAAAGGTGGTAGCATAAGTTCAATATTAGAATATTGTTGCAGGAAAAAAAAATTCATTAAAAAAAAAAGTGCTGTCTTCCAGAATGTATTAATGATATAAAGATTTATATTTTGATCTAAAATGAAAGTAAATTGCTCTTTAATTTTAGAATAGAATGTGATATAAAGTCCCATATGAACAAATATGTGTCCCTACTTTTATTGTATAGGTGTTTTTCACATAGAAAGACACTTTAAAAAAAAAAAGACACTTTTCATAGAGATTACTTTTTGCGACCAAATATTAATGAGTGAAGCTAATTCATTATGCAGTGAACTCTCTCTAATACGATATCTGATACAACCAGGGCCGGATTAACCTATAGGCACACTAGGCACGTGCCTAGGGCCTACGAAATTCAGGGGCCTACGAAAAACTTGGGAGAAAAAAATCTGTTGACAAAAATAATTTAGCTTTAAAAACAACAAGTGTATTTTGCACAAAATTATGAAGATACAAATAAAA